TACTACCCGTACAGTGTTAGTTTGGTCTGGCGGGAAGTGGCCTTCCTTTTGAATTACTTACTCAGACCATAGTAGCATCTGTTGGCCAACACTACCCTCTCCAAATTTCAAAACTGATGTCATTCGTTTTATTTATGGCGGTACCAAGGTATATAAAATCTTTAACTACCTCGAAACTGTAGTTCTCCAGTTCCACAGACTACTGGACGTCTTGCGTGTTGATATCATCAGCTTGATCTTCTCGCCGTTTACTGCCAGACCCACTTTGGCAGACTCCTTCTCAATTTGTTCAAAGGTGTATGTTACCGCTCTCAATGTTCGACCCATTATGTCGATGTCATCGGCGTAGGCGAGTAACATGTGTTGTTCGGTGTACATAGTGCCATTTCTGTTCACTTTTGCCTCTGTATGACCTTTTCCAGCAGGATGTTAAAATGGTCACACGACAAACTGTCACCTTGTCTAAATCCTCGTTCGGTATTAAATGGCTCCGAGAGGTCCTTCCCAACTTTAACTGCTAACCTTGTGCCAGTTAAAGTTATCCTGCATAGCCGTATTAATTTTTCAGGAATGCCAAACGCAGACATGGCTTTAAACACCTCTGAACGGATAGGACTGTCGAATGAGACTTTATAGTCGACGAATAGGTGGAATGTGTCGATGTGTTTTTCGTGGGTTATTTTCCAGGATTTGGCGCAGAGTAAAAATCTGCTCAATGGTGGACTTGCGAGGTTTGAAGCCGTATTGGTATGGTCCAATAATATCATTGACCATTCAGTCGTTCACACAGCACGCTGGATAGAACTTTTTATGCAATGGGAAGGAGACTTATTCCTCTCTAGTTAGCACATATCGTCTTGTCAACTTTTTTGTGCACGGAACACAGGATGCTGAGGTTCCAATCATTGGACTGGTGCATGCTCCTTACCAGCATCTGACCACCAGTCTTGAATAGTTCGGCTTGTAACCCATCGGCACATACTGATTTATTAATATTTTTCAGTCGATTGATTACTATTCTGACCTCATCTTGGCTAGGTGCTAAACACTCTATACCGTCATCTATTATTGGTTCTGGAGCTACTATTTGAAACCAGAAGTTTTTCAAAATGCTCCTTCCAGATCCTCAGCACGCTGTCTGTATCTCTCACCAGGTTTCCTTCTTCATCTCTACAGGAGGATATGCCTGCACCAAAGCCTTCGGTTTGATGTTTTACTCGTTGGTAAAATTTTCGGACTTCATTCTGACTCCTGTACATTCCATTGTAGGAAAACGGCGAAAATTACAAATTTTTTGGTATGAAAAACGCACAGCAATCCTAAACTAGACTTCTTCCCATATTGACAGTTTCCAAACGGGGACCGCTATAGCCCTCCTACAATCCTGACTTTACTGAAGACCTAGGCCACTTGTGTACAAAATCTCAGGGCTTCGTATCGCAATTTTGTAATTGGAAATAACGTAAATACATCAAAAGACCATGGCTTATTATCCAAAAAAATTATCACTAATCCAGAATTTATATGCCAAAATGAATATACTGGTGGTGGGTATATTGAAAAAATAGTACATCCGGTACATACCGGATATACACATGAACACAAATATAAATTGATTTTGTAAAATTGAAATATGTACATACCTATATTTCAAAAAGTAATAATGTTTAATAAATGTTTATCTATACGTTTCACTTATTACATAATAAATGTCCTTTTTTCAACTTCATACACAAATTTCCTTTACACCCAACAATATTCCAATATTCACGAAAGATGCTAAATGTATATTCTTACCTAATCCTTTATCCCATTTAAGGTCCATACATTTTTGTAGGTCAAATTGAAAGATATCCTTGCGACACTAATGGCATTCCCTTATCAGCACCAAACCAATCAGCAATTGATAACAACAAACACTTATCAGTACATAAACAAGGATTTTTCCTTTCCCTCTTATTTAAGATATATGTACAACAATTGCTGCGGACCACAATTTGGAAAACATAAAACCACAATCAAAGATTTATTTTACAAAACCACAATTTCAAACAAAACTCCTTTTCAGATGATTTTTTTTCTTGGAGTTCAAATTGCCACAAAATATCTCCAATGTCTCTCTTTCTTTGGCGATATACCTTCTTGGCGTTCAACTGACTGACGTCTTCTACTACTATCACTACAGCGTCAAACTCTGGAGGAAAGTGAAAAATCGAATTTTCTATCTACACATATTTTGCAAATTGCGGCGCGCACCGCATCGCATCACACAGCACAACAAACGTACACACGCACCCAGCCTTCCAGCTTCTTTTGCACCACTGCCCTCCTTTTGTTGTGTTGTTTCTGGTGCGATGGGATGTGCTACACATCCAACCAAACCAAACAGCACAGAAACATTTAACATTTGTGTCTCACACTCACCTCAATTTCTTTGTCGGAACATAATTTATCGAGTTCCTCTTTTTCCCTTTGGGTATCCGCCAACATGGCAATAGCCGTCCTATGGTCAATTGCTGGCGTTGGTGTTCTGGGTCGTTCCCGATATTCATCATCGCCAGGACCAGCAGTTTCTTCCAAAATTTCATTGGCCAAATTTGTCAATTGACCTTTAATTGTATTTAGATTTAAGTTATTTAACCAAGACATTTTAGCTCACACACACACGGAGACACGTTCACATTGATTTTCTTTCGATTCCGTTTAATTATTTTGCGGATTTTTATTTTAAAATTGTATTAATTTTCTTCCAGATAACAAAATTTAGAAGAAAAAATGTTGATGATGATGGCAAAATCAAAAATCCGTCTTGTATTTATTATTTTGGTTTTTGTTGTTGTTGTTTTCGTTTTATCGTTTGCTTCGTATTTTGATGTAATTGTGTGAGGGTAATGTCAAAAACAGCTGTTCAACTTTTTCCAATTGGGACACAAATTGGAACGAATTTGCTATATGATGACAAAAGGTGAGTTGTGGTTGTTCGTATTTTGACACGCAGAAAGTGAAGCATTAGGGTGGATGGAATTAAAAAAAAACAAACACGGTCGTGTTAGATTTATTTTTTAACTTTTTAAAACCTACCAAATCGCAACGATGGAAAATTGATATTTATTTGCATTGAATTTTCCAACCTTATTTGGAACTTTATCATACAATAGCGAATGATTTGGGAAAATGATAGATAATTTTTTCCAAGTAAATTTAATGTAAACTGTTTCCTAAATTCTTTAAAATACTCAAAGTTTCTGCGCCGTATTATATGGACCATGATGCAATAATAAGGTGATGTATCAAAACAAAAACATTTGTTTTTGTCTGGACCATCTGTCAAATTTTTCCATATAATTACGCACTTTGACAGTTAATCAAGTTATCAGCTGCGCTAAATGGACTACCTATTTATTGTGCCATAATATGGACGTTATATCTAATCTTGGACTAATATTGGTAATATTTTAGAGGGACATGCTTACACAATCGAAATAAGGTGGACCAGTGCTAAATATCAAGCTACAATATAAAATGACGAAAATTTTATGTTCCTTATGTGGGAGCTGTATCTAAAGAGCGGCCAAAATAATAGTAGGGTACTTGGTACTCAATAGGAATTTATATATATAATTATATATATAATTTATATATATACATATATATATATATATATATATATATTGGGGATATTGGACACATTTTACAACCGAATCGCCTGTTATTTAGTATTTTTATTCTCATTATGTGTCAAATCTCACTACCATAAATTATTAATATTGAAACAAAGCAAGTTTAGAGGCTCCACTCGTTTTGAAATTTTTGCCGTAAGTAGTACAACTTAAGATGATTATAGTGATATTTTCCGATATATGGGTTTTGAAAGTTCGGAAGATATTTTGTTTACTTCTGGACAGGCGCATACATGGCTATGCCATCCAAATCCTTTTTAAGTGCAATTTCAAAATTAAATGAAAGGATTTTTATGTAGCAGGCGTTCGGCGGGGGCTTAACACTTTCACCTATGGACCGGCGCCTATATGGCTACGCAATCCAATTTTTTTCAATTTTATTAAATATTATTACATTATAATGATATATTCTTCATCCAGTTTTAAATAAATATTCATAACCTTTAAAATGATACCCATTTGCTGGAAAAAGTAAAACGGCTCATTTAAACAAAATATTTTATTCGAAATTTTAAGACCCATATCTCGGGATGTATGTATTTTCCAAACATAGAATATAAAACACAGTAATCAGCTCACCGAGGACTACTTACGGTAAAATTTCAAAGTGATCCGAGTAGAGTCCCTAAACTTGACTTAAACCATTACCCTATTAGGCTTAAGTCAAATGACTACCAGTGGAAATAACATTTATAGAAAATCGGTTCATCAAATAAAAGCCAACTCGACTTTAGCAAATGTCCAAAATAGCGAAAATCGAAAAGTATCCTGCCAAGGGGGTTAATACTTATAATTTTTAGTAGGGACATTTTCTAACCATTGAGAACATAAAATATCAAGTTACAACTAATTCGATTGGGATAAGAGTCCTAAATGTTAAAAATACCAAAATTTGGAGGATAACGTTATACGGGTGAGGAAAAATTAAATAAAATTTATAATCTAGAAGGTAAAATAGAACATAGAAATAAAAAATTAATTTAAACAAATATTTTTATTTCGGCTTTATCTTTAAAATGCCTTTCCATAATTTATTTACCACGGTTATTTCAATTATTTTTTTTTTTAATTCTACAGATGTCCCTCTTAATATCCTAATAATTATATCAATCTCCCTATTATAATAATAACTATAATAAAATTCTACATTTAATTAAATTCCGCAAAGCATTTGCATTTTATTTATCTTATGTAGAGTGAGATTAGTTGTCTTTTTTCGTCAGGAATGTTTACTATTTAATTCGATTCCGATTGTGTGTGATGTTATGATAATAAATTAATCACAGCTTAAATTAGGCTTAACATATTTTTTTGTTCTAACTAATTCAATATATCTTCGTGACCAGAAGTTGCACTATTGGTTGCGTTTTGTGATTTTTTCTCTTTGGGCGGCAGTGTTTGTTTTTCATTTTGTAAAAAACGCAATAAGGCTGATTTGTGACTTTCAACACTACCATATAAATCATAAATTTGGGCAAAACCAAAATAGGCGCATAGACCTAAGACTGAAAAGAATAGTACTACAATGGCCAGGGCTCCCAATAGACCGCATAGCATCATGGAAAATATTGTCAAAAGGGTACCTATTGGAAAGACACATCAGTAAATAAATAGTTCTAATATTTCCTTAAGAAACACATTGACATACCCTCCAACACCAAAAATCCCGTCAATGTAACAAACAGCGTTGAAAGTCCAACACCAATAAATATTAATATGGGCAGAGCGGCTACCAGACCAGCTGCTAAGACACACAAGGCCATTTGTGGATTTTGTACCGACCATTGGACAATGCGATCAATAAGCTGATAACCACCCAGGTCAACCATAACAAAACTGAAAAGTAGTTTCATTTGTAAATCTGAAAAGGGATAAACTTATTAAATGTCGATATAGAATAAAATATTTATTTAATTTGTACATAATTTCTTGCTGATTTCCAATAATATCCCAAGAATTTCTTGGCCCTCTATGCTGCCAATGGAGTTTGGTTCATTCGGTGTTGACCCTTGCTCATTGATGGTGGGTTCCTCTTCTTCCTCACTAAACGAATTGCTTGTGGCAGATTCCCTAAAAACCTGTAAAGAAAATAATTAGTTATTGTATCTACAATATATTTTATCCATAAATAATACCATTTTAAACCGTTATTTATTATTTTTTCTATTGTTTAAACAATTTGCATTTTTTGCACAAATAAAACATTGAACTATTTCAAAATATAAATATGCTATTCACCAAAATGAACCAACTGACCCATAGATGATACAGTAGCAATGGACGATAAATAGCAAACACAAACAAATATACTGATTTACCAGTGTGTTTACGAATGAGTGTGAAAATAACTGCCACTTACAATACTTGTTTAGAAAAAGGACGTAACAAATGTAAAAATCAGCATATAATAGGTGTGTACAATAACATTTTCAGTAAAAATTAATTGGACATTTCATCAGATCTATATTGAATGGCGGTTCTACCGGGACAAACTTGGTATCAATAATCGGTTAATAAGAACGACACGATTTTCTATAAATGTTGTTTCCACAGGTAGTCATTTGATTGAATTTAGCCTAATTGGGTAAGACTTAAGTCAAGTTTAGACACTCGGTGGGCAGATTACTGTGATATATATTCTATGTATGGAAAATGCATACTTCCTGAGATATGGCCCTTGAAAGTTCGGAGAATATTTTGTTTAAATCAGCCGTTTTACTTTTTGCAGCAAGGCAATATGGGTATCATTTTAAAGGTTATGAATAGTGCTTTAAAACTAGATGAAGAATATATCATTATAATGTAGCCATGTATGCGCCTGTTTATAAGTTAAAGTCTTAAGTCCCGACCGAAGGCCGGCTACTTAAAAAACCCTTAATTTGGTTCTAAAATTGCACTTAAAAAGAATTTGGATTGCGTAGCCACGTACGCGCCTGTCTATAGGTGAAAGACTTAAGCCCCGGCCGAATGCGTTCTACATAAAAATCCCTTAATTTGATTCTGAAATTGCACTTAAAAAGTATTTGGATTGCATAGCCATATTTGCGCTTGTCCTACCGTAAGTAGTCATCGGTGGGCAGATATACTGTATGATATATATTCTATGTATGGAAAATGCATACTTCCTGAGATATGGCCCTTGAAAGTTCGGAGAATATTTTGTTAAAATCAGCCGTTTTACTTTTTGCAGCAAGGCAATATGGGTATCATTTTAAAGGCTATGAATAGTGCTTTAAAACTGGATGAAGAATATATCATTATAATGTAGCCATGTATGCGCCTGTTTATAGGTGAAAGTCTTAAAGCACGACTGAAGACCGGCTACTTAAAAAAATCTTAATTTGATTCTAAAATTGCACTTAGAAAAGAATTTGGATTGCGTAGCCATGTATGCGCCTGTCTATAGGTGAAAGGCATAAGCCCCGGCCGAATGCGTGCTACATAAAAATCTCCTAATTTGATTCTGAAATTGCACTTAAAATGATATATATTCTATGTATGGAAAATGCATACTTCCTGAGATATGGCCCTTGAAAGTTCGGAGAATATTTTGTTTAAATCAGCCGTTTTACTTTTTGCAACAAGGCATTATGGGTATCATTTTAAAGGTTATGAATAGTGCTTTAAAACTGGATGAAGAATATATCATTATAATGTAGCCATGTATGCGCCTGTTTATAAGTTAAAGTCTTAAGTCCCGACCGAAAGCCGGCTACTTAAAAAACCCTTAATTTGCTTCTAAAATTGCACTTAAAAAAGAATTTGGATTGCGTAGCCATGTATGCGCCTGTTTATAGGTGAAAGACTTAAGCCCCGGCCGAATGCGTGCTACATAAAAATCCCTTAATTTGATTCTGAAATTGCACTAAAAAGGATTTGGATTGCATAGCCATATTTGCGCCTGTCCTGAGGTGAACAAAATATGTTCCGAGCTTTCAAGGCCCATATCTCGGGAAGTATGCATTTCCCCCCAAATTAATTATATATCACTGTAATCAGCTTACGGTAAAAATTTCAAAATGATCCGAATGGAGCCCCTAAACTTGACTTGACGGTAATAAACGTGGAATTGGATTTAATTTAAATAACTAGGATTTTAATTGGGAAGAAAATCTTCCTACCAAAAATAATCTAAATTGGTTAAGTTTTATATATGAAACCCCATATAATCCATATAATGGTGCCTTCAAGTTTGTGGAATTTTGAACACATTTTTCAAACGAATTGACTGTAATTTAATAATCTTTGGGTAGAAAATCTACCTACCAACAAGTCGGTCCGAACATTCTATATCAGGTTGACATTCAATATATAAAATTATGGGGACTCCACTGAAAAGAATGCATGTTATGATAGGACTTTCAACATCAAGAGGTTTACCCTGACTTGATTCAATATATAAAATTTGACACCCAATGAGAATACAAAATAGCAAATTACAGCCAATTTGGTATTGGGGGTACCATTATATGGGGTTAGCCCTGAGACTATGGTATTCATTTGACACTCCCTGCGTGTCCGAATACGAACAACCACAACTATTGTTCTCATATAGCAAATTCGTTCCAATTTGTGTCCCAATTGGAAAAACATAGCGTAAAATCATGGCACAATAAATAGGTAGTCCATTTAGGGCATCTCGATTAACTGTCAAAATGGCTAATTTCTACTTGAATTCGATGTGCAATGTTGCCAACCATGTGAAATACTATAAGGAAAAATTTGACAGATGGTCGAGACAAAAATAAAGGGTTTTGTTTTGATACATCACCTTAATATTGCATCATGGTATTACCCTAATTACAATCGACATTTGAGATCGAGTGGATTTCGTAAATCTAAACGCGCCTTAAGTTTTTAATTTGTTTTATTAAAATACTCCTGTAAATATTGTTCATATTGCCAACTCTGAAGATATAATAGTTGGCAACACAAAACCATGTTGACAAGCAACAATTAGACATACGTCGTTATCTAAGATGCCGCCATTGCTTTGATACTGATACGACACGCACGATACGTCGTCGTGTATTGCCAAAAACTTAACTATATTTCTCAACCGGCTCCACCGAAAGTTAGTTAAAGTTGATTCACTGAAACAAGTGGAAGGTAGGTGGCCCAAATTTCTTCAAATTCTTATTAAAAATTTTAATAAATAATTAATAATATATAGCGTGTGAATCAAAGTCCACAAAATCAGCTGTGTGTGTTTTCCTTAAAACGAATAAGAAAATTAAAAATTTATTAAACTCTGTGAGAAAAAGGAGGGAGTGGCTCCTTAGTGTGTGACCGACCCATTCAGTTTACCCCCCTTTCAAATGGTTTTATATGTACATTAGTAATGTGTAGATTTGCATATATAAATGTACATACATATATTTCATGTATGGGGTGATGGGTTGGAAATGATTTTTTTTTTCTTTTTTGTAGAAGTTCTCTCATCTCTAAGGTAACAGGTTACAAAGAAAAAAATACTAATGATCATTCTTTTTTCAATTTATCTTTTCAGTTTTCATTTAATAACGCACAAGACAACAACTGAAGAAAAATGGTTAGCCAACAGGTAAGAGGAGATATCCATCCTATTATTTAAGAATCTAAAATTTTTGGACTATTGGTTATACATATATGTATAGGTGTTCAATATTTTTAGTAGGTTTTTTTTTATTAATTATTATCAGACCATTCACAGTATGACACGTGTTATTATTTCTTTTATTGATTGATTTATTTTTGCGTTTGTTTGGTTTTTTAGGAATTCGAGAAAGCCGCCGAAGATGTCAAGAACTTGAAAACATCTCCAGCCGATAACGATTTATTGGAATTGTACAGTCTATATAAACAGGCCACAGTTGGTGACTGCAATACAGGTAATATTTTGTTTTTAATATTAATAATTCTAATATTATTATTCAAGACATATGACCTCTTTTTTTGAGCCCATGTTATCTCTCTATTATTTATGATTTATAAATTGATGTTGTTGTGGTTGATAGTATGAGATTATTATTCGTATATACACGATAGCTAATAGCCGATTAATTTGGTGGGGTATGCGGAAAATTTGATAAGTATTTTGTTAATTTTTGATAATTGATTTACTAACAGGTCGTTTTTTTATAGGGATAAGATAATACAATTGTTTTGGGATTAGATAAGAGAAAGTGGATTAAGGTGTTTGTTATCTTAAAGGAATGAATGAAATCTTGTTGTACAACATGTTCTTCATAATAGATTACCAGTATCAGTTCAAGCAAACCTAAATTTAATCAAGGAAAACCATGACAAGAAAAACAAATTCCATTGGAATCCCTTTTTATTACGTGGGGTTCCAAAGTACAAAGAATAACTCCACTTTATATTAAATATCTTAAAAACAATTAATCAGTTATGTTTGAACATTTCATCGCCGGTAGGTGCTGCAACAAAATGTTTTGGATTTGATTTTTTTTTTTTTTTTTGAATTTGAATTTTATTATTCCCAGATGGATAAATGCGAAAAAATTGCTACTCGTTTTCTAAACAATTGAAACATGTATAATCATCATAGCAACCCTTTAACGATTTCCATCCTAGAAATATAATCCTCAGATACGAATATTGAAGATAACTACCTCATAAACGTTGCTGAATTAAATGCACTGTTAAAGAAATTAAAAGACTGAAAATCTCCAGGATTGGACCGTATTAACAACAAATGTTTAAAACACTTGCCTATTAAAGCAAAAAGGAAAAAAATCTGCTCTGTAAGGAATGTTCTGGTATATAAATTTGTTACTTCTGACATGCCATCACCAACTGGATGCACCTCATCTATATTTGCTGATGACACCTCTATATTATATTTGTATGCCACCGATATACTGGCTAAATTGGAAAATTGCCTCCAAGAACAAAAAGCTGGGGTAGAATAATCAAACTATACCATACTTATTAAGAGGTATAACTTTAAAATCTGACATTGAAAAAGCAAGATACTTTAAGAATTACTTTTCAGATTCTGTACATAATTTTCGTTCTCGTAAAGTAACATTTGCAACAGATCACATAAATATATTTCGTACTCTTGTACCATGCAATACAAAATTAAGGTTGGAAACAGTATCATCTGATGCTGTAGGAAACTTACTTGGAAAATTAGAGAAATAAAGAGCACCTGCATTTGATAGAATAACATCCAGATTACTTTTAACAAGGAAACATGCAGTAGCCCAAATATTGACATTACTTTATAATTTCATAATACATGAATCAATATTTTCTGATATACGAAATGTTCATATATTCAATTGATTCAGAACTATCGTCCTATAACTATACTTTCCATTATTAGTAAGATAATTGAAAAGATTATCTTCATGCGGCTAACAGATTATCTTGAAAGTAATAATATGATATTTGAGCGCCGATATGGGTTCAAGAAGGATACAGGCACAAGCGATTGTGTAGTTCATCTTATAGACAGTAATGTGATGGATTGAATAGGGGTAATAGTGGTGTGGCAGGAGTATTCTATATCCTTACTAAGGCTTTTGATTTGGTGGATCATGATATTCTGGTGGAAAAACTTAAGGTTATTGGACTTTTTTCCAATACACTTTTACTGTTTAAAAGCTATTTAGGCAATGGGAAACAATTGGCTTGTTCCCGTATTGCAAGAATCTACTACATTTTACTATTTTCTTCGAAATCATAAAAGGAAATTCATTATCAAGGTAAAAAGTATTAGACTCTTGCAGTACGGGAACAGACCAAATATATTCAGATATACAAGCCACAAGCTATCTATTTTGTAAGAAATCGAAAATCGTGTTTCGTCCCTCAATGGTGGTCATTATAATGGAAATAAGATACTCATTTTTAAATCAGTTTTCCAACTTCAGTAAAAAATTCTCAAAGTGATATACAATCTACCATGGTTTTATTCAACTATTTATTTTTTATTTTTTTACAGACAAACCCGGCTTTTTGGACTTCAAAGGCAAAGCCAAATGGGAAGCCTGGAACAACCGCAAGGGAACATCCAAGGATGATGCCATGAACGCCTATGTTGAAAAGGTCAAGGCCCTCATCGAATCAATTGGCCTTAAAGCCTAAATGGAAAATGCAATATAATTTAATAACACCATCTATAATATTAACACAACCGAATCAACAGTCCATTCGATGTATTATTGGACAAACACCAAATAATACTGGCATTTATTATGAAAGAAAAGAGAAAAGAAAAAAAACACGAACAAAATGTAATGCACAATTTTACATTAGTAGTTTTTTTTTTTTTTTGCTAGATAATGAAATAAAGATTTTTTCACTTACACCTACACACAGAGACTTTTCAATTCGTTATGGAATAAATTTGAATTTCGTTATGGAATTTTTAATGGCAAAGGAAATTTTTGATCCTTATACAAAATTGAATTTATAAAATATTAGTTTCAAAGTTGCGTTGTAGCAATTTTATTTGCAAGATTAATTTTATAATAAATTTCATTTATTGTGAAAATATTTTTCCATAATACTACATAAATATGTATAATAAATAGGTAATGCTGGGGGTGGTGGAAATAGAAGTAATTAACTTAAAAAATGTTGTGGAATTCAAAGCATAAAATTCTCTAACTATGTCGAGGGATCTACAAAAGAAAAACATTTCTTTAATACTTATATTAAACTATGTGATATACAACAAAACGGATTTCTTCAAACATCTATGGGTGTCTTAATTTGAATATGGTGACCATACAAGAATGATAGTCTTTGCAAGAGCTTGAAAACTATTTTTAAAAAATCCACGCCTTAAAAATGCGATCTTTATCTACAAGTAAACAGACTAACATGTTGGGAACACATGCCATTCTGCCACTTATTCTAAATTTTGTAAACAGATTTAAAACAAAATGTAATATCAATCCATTGATTATTTGGTGCACAATCAGCATGAATAGGTCGAAGTTATATATGGAAACAATGCTATATCTAAATGTGAACCGATTTCAAGGAAACATGCCAGAGGTTAATTTATATTAAATTCAGTACCCTGTGTCAATCCGCCTAGCTATGGGTCTTTAGAGCACTATTTACTTAATATCGGTATATATAGGTGCTATATCTAAATCTGAACCGATTTTCACGAAACTTATCACACACCTAATTCTGGACCAAACACATTACCCTATGGCAAATTTCGTGCAAACGAAAGATATATAGGGACTTTGGTGCACCTTTTACATAAAATCAGACGAAAATATATACGGGAGCTATATCTTAATCTTAACCGATTTTCAAGAAACATTTACCTTCAATCGGAGCTATATATAAATCTTAACCGATTTTCAAGAAACTTAACAAGCATCATTCTAGACCTAATTAATTACGGTGTGCCAAATTTGTGCAAATCGAATGATATATATGCACTTTGGTGCACCATTTACATTAAATCGGAGAAAATATATATGAGAGCTATATCTAAATCTTTTTTTATAAATCCACGCTTTGAAAAAATATTTTTAAAAAATCATCGCCTTGGAAAAATATTTTTAAAAAATCATCGCCTTGGAAAAATATTTTTAAAAAATCATTGCCTTGGAAAAATATTTTTAAAAAATCCACGCCTTGAAAAAATAATTTTAAAAAGTCCATCTTAAAAATCTCCTTTGGAGTAATAAGGTATAAGAAGAAAATTAAAAAAAAATAGAAAATACCTTATTGTGACTATCATTCATGCTGGGCCCCCATGCGGTGTACTTGTCTTAAATTATTCTTTTGATTTCATTTAAATGTCATACTTTTATAATTTCTTGTTGTTGTCTTTTCAATTAGTTAGTCGGTGACACAGTTGCATTCTCATCCGTTGGTGTATTTGCTGTTTTACTCAGTGATCTTTGGCGTTCATAGAATTCTTTTTGTAGCTCTCTTAGATTCATTTCCAGCGTTTCAACTACTTCAAAATTTAAATCTTGTCGAGCTTGTTTAATGTAACCCTTAATGATGTTGATTTGTTCCACCAAAGGATCATCACTTTGTACCAGATTTTCGTTGCGTATTTGATGGGCTGTCCAGTTATCAAGACATTGCATGTCGGTCTGAAATAAAGAATGTTAGAAAAAATACACAAAAAGTTGAAAATTCACTTACCCCCTGAGCATAATCCTCCGATCGTATACTCTGATCAGCATTCGAATCGGCCAAACCATATCTTTCATAAGCCTCCATTGCCAATCTCCGTTCAGTGGCAATACGCATTTCTGTTTCCATACGTTTACGTTCTTGTATTTGTCGAATCTCATCTTCCTTTGGCAGAGGCGGCAGTGACAGCATATTTTCCTTAATCAATTGTATACACGATAAACGTATCGATTTTTTGAGACTCTCCTCCCGGGTGCCCGGTTCACATGGCAATGCCAAAATACGTTTACTCAGTATATCTATCGCTTCGGCAATTTGTCCAATTTTACCACGCAATGCACTCGCATCATTTAGCGTAAATATCGATTCACCCTCATATAGACTATTTACAATTTTCAAATACATTTCAATATCGGGCATTACTTTTTTCTTTAGCTGTTGTATATCGGCATAGATTTGTGTTATTGGCGGCCGACATGTACGACTTTCGTGCATTTCTTGTCGTGTCTCCAATAGCCATAGGCAATGATCACACGATCGTATTGCATCGTATTGTTGTTGGGGTGTTGATGTACCGCCAGTTGTCTGCTTTTCGTTGGGCATTTTTAGTGGTTCACTTTGGGACATTGTAAGGCTGGCCAATTCCACTAAAAAAAGTAAAGGAAAATTATTTTCAAATAATAATTAAAAATTAAATAAATGAAATATTTATTAAATATATTTTCAGTTAACGAATAGTTTTTCATGATGAATATAAGAATGGATTTTTTGTCAAGTAGATTAGAATTGTCGCTATAAAAAACAGTTTTTTTCAAGTAGCATTGAAGCGTATATTGTTTGAAGAATATTTTTTCAAACATTTTAGATTTTTATTAAGAATATTTTTTCAAACAGCATAGAAGCCTCCATTTTAAGAAAATACTTTTTCAAGCAGCATAAAGCCCTCACTTTTTAGATAACATTTTCAAGCTTTTCAAACGCGTCGGTCTTGTGCACAGCTCTTGCAATTTGAAAGACCATGTTTTGAAATGTTCTCTTCTACTTGATCTTTCCATCCAATTCGTAGTCATCACCTTCTGTGAGAGCCATCAAATGGCTGGCTTTTATATGCCTTTTGTGTTGAGGCATCCTCATCATGTTCCGAAATGTTCTCTTCTACTTGATCTTTCCATCTAAGTCGTGGGCTTCGCCTTCTGCTTGAGACTGGCTCGCTTTTATATGTCTTTTGTGCTGGGGCATCCTCATCCGTCCTTACAACGTCTGACAATGTCGATGTTCGAGAATAGATGGTACAACTCATGGTTCACTCAACGGCGATATTCACCGACAACGCAGATCGGCCCATAGATCTTTCGGAGAAATTTTTCTCTCAAACACCCCATGAGCCTCCTCATCCGCTTTCGCAAGTCGCTTCGATACGTCTGACAATGTCGATGTTCGAGAATAGATGGTACAACTCATGGTTCATTCGACGGCGATATTCACCGTCAACACAGATCGGTCCATAGATCATTTGCAGACTTTTTATCTCATACACTCCAAGATCCATATAACAGCACGGGAAGTATGAGCGTCTTGTAGAGTTTGAGTTTGGTCTGGTGGGAGGTGACCTTGTTTCCAAACTGCTTACTTAGGTCAGTAGCATCTGTTGGCCAACACTATTATCCTCCGAATTTCATAACTGATGTCATTAGTTTTCTTTATGGCGGCAACAAGGTATATAACATATTTGACTACCTCGAAGCTGTAGATCTCAAGTTGCAAAGTTGGTCCGAGTCAACTAGACGTCTTTCCCGTTGATGCCATCTTGGTCTTCTCGCCATTTTCTGCCAGACCCACTTTGGCCGGCTCCTTTTCAATTTGTTCAAAGGTGGCTGTTACCGCTCGCAATGTTCGATGCATTATATCGATGTCATCAGCGTAGACAAGTAACATATGTTGTTTGGAGTATAGAGTGTGATTTTTGTTCACATCTGCCTCTCCCATGACCTTTTCCAGCAGGATGTTAAAAAGATCACACAACAAACTGTCATCTTGTCTGAATCGATATTAATGGGCTCCGATAGGTCCTTCCCTACCTTAACTCCTGACATTGTGCCAGTTCAAGTTGTCCTGCATAGCCATATTAATTTTACAGGAATGCCGAACGCAGACATGGCTTTGAATACCTCTGAACGGATAGGGTTGTCGAATGCGTATTTATAGTCGACGAATAGGTAGAAAGTGTCGATGTGTTTTTCGTGGATCTTTTCCTGGATCTGGCGCAGTGTGAAACCCTGGTCAATGGTTGATTTCCCAGGTCTGAAGCCGCATTGGTATAGTCCAATATTATCATTGACCATTGGCTTCAAACGTTCACACTGCACGATATATAGCACTTTATATGCGGTGATGAGGTTCTAGCCAAATTGTACTAATCTGCTGGTGTATGCTCCTTACCAGTATCTGACCACCAGTCCTGAATAGTTCGACTGGTAACCCATCGGCACCTTCTTCTTTATTGCTATAATTTGAAATTTGTTGTTTTTATTCATACTTACTTGCAACTTCAATGGCAAGAAATTTCGAACAATCATGACACATAATGCTACCACAAATGCGACAATGATGTTTTCTCCTCGTTATGTTAAAACTTTTGGCACAATTGGGACATAATTTCACCGAACTACCATCTAGCCATGGTACAATCTAAACAAAACAAAAAAGGAAAATAAATAAAACAGTTTCCATTCAATTCCAAAGCCCCCACCAAAACTTACATTTTGTTCATGTTGTTTACGCAGCACCGCATCTGTGGGCATATCCTTAAGCAGTTTATGCAGACGTATTATCAATTTATTTGTCTCACTGGCATAACGTTCCAATCGTGGATTTCGAACCGATTGAAATAGTTCCATATGTTGTTGTTCTCTACCCACTTCCTGATAGTCCATAAAATTAAAGCAATTCATGCGGGAACGAGCATTACTCTGTCGATCCGAACTGTTGCCGGATGCAGCGCCACCACCACTACGTGATATCGCTGCATTACGTTCCAAGTTACGTGATAGATCGAATGTTTCCTCAAAATTCGATTTAATTTTTTTCTTAGCTTTACTAAATATTTCACGGAATGTTGTTTTTAGGTCATCATCTTCTGGGTGCTGTTTTTCGAAATGCGATATAAGGAACTCTAAAGATTTTAAATCCTCTCGGCAGATGGGACAGATGAAGCCTTCCAGAATTTCCTTATCATCGTCGTGATCATCACCAAAGGGATTTGTGGACATTCTGCTGCTGGCCAGTTGATTGATTCCAAACGATGATTCCTCTGTGTGATGATGATTTACACCCACAAAACTAGAGTTGGGTAGTTCCGGAACGAACTAGTTCATTGGAACTATTCCGAGAAAGGAACGAACGGAACTAGTTCCAGTTCTTTAATTAATATAATTCCTTTCTCTGATCCAGTTCCTTTTTTGAACTATTTGAAGCAAAGGAACTGTATGGAGCAAAGGAACTATAAAGAGCAAAGGAACTATATGGAGCAAAGGAACTATATATGGAAAAACGAAAAAAAAAATAATAAAAGAGAGAGAGAGAGATTCAAAAGAACAGTGGGAAGCCTCCAAGACTCCAGCCTTCATAAAATTCGCTTGTTAATCGTCGTTCTGCCAAGACTCAAGCGACGTCGTACGCAAACCTTCGCCAACAAATGGTCTGTTCCAGTACTTTTTATACCCTCCACCATAGTATGGAGGGTATATTAATTTTGTCATTCCGTTTGTAACTCATCGAAATATTCATTTCCGACCCTATAAAGTATATATATTCTTGATCAGGGTAAAATTCTAAGACGATCTAGCCATGTCCGTCCGTCTGTTGTAATCACGCTATCTTCTGAAGGAATTGAGATAGGGTGCTGAAATTTTGCATAGGGTTGTCTTTTGTCTGCAGGCAGGTCAAGTTCGAAGATGGGATATATCGGTCCACGTTTAGGCATAGCTCCATATAAGGGTACCCCCCAATTTTCGGTATTTTGGGGTTCTTGAGCGCGTTTTTCAAGCGAATTTGTAGTAAATGTATCCACAAAAAATTATAAATATAGGTCCACTTTTTCTTGTAGCCCCCATATAACGGTACCTCCTAATTTTCAGTATTTTTTGGGTTTTTATCGTATTTTTCACCGAATTGGCTGTAATTTAGTATTTTGAGTTCTTAGCAGGTACCAAATCTCTCCACAAAAAAAATTTAAATATAGGTCAATTTTTTCGGATATCCCCCATATAAGGGTACCCCCCAATTTGGGTATTTTGGGGTTCTTGAGCGCGCTTTTCAACCGAATTCGCTGCAATTTTGTACATTGGGTTCATATTGCGTACCAAATATCTCTACTAAAAATTATAAATATCGGCCCACTTTTTCTGGTAGCCCCCATATAAGGGCACCCCAAATTTTCGGTATTTTGAGGTTCTTAAGCGCGATTTTCAACCGAATTCGCTGAAATTTGGTACAGTGGGTTCATATTGGGTACCAAATATCTCTATTTAAAATTATAAATATCGGTCCACTTTTTCATTTCAAATACCTGTCAGTATACCTGTGGTGGAGGGTATCCAAAGTTCGGCCCGGCCGAACTTAACGCTTTTTCACTTGTTTAATAGTAAAGCTAGTAAAAGGGAAACATTTCAAGTCTCAGAGTACAAAATAATTTGAAAAGTTCGGGAACGCAAATCTAGTAAATATGCCAAAATTAGATGGCAATACTTCAAAATCAACATAACAAAAAGTTTACAAAGAGAAAGCCATTTTGTTTTGTGCTCTCTTAAATTTGATTCAATGCTTTACCAGTTTTATGGGTTCAGGAACGGTTTTCGAGTAAAAAGTTGCAAAACTTGTAAAATTAGTAGATTCTTTTAGGTTTTGGAACGGAGCTAAAATAAAAACGACGACTGAAAAAATTGAAAAACGTTCCACCTGCTAACGAATGGGAGGAGAAGACAAAATGGCCGATAAAGATGAACTCAAAATGGTATAACCGAAAGTTTACGAATGAGGTGGGATAGAGACTAAATGGAAACCGTGTTGTTTACGAATGAGGTTTAGGCAAATTATGATTAGGGATAAGTAAATCGACTTTCGATTAATCGATTAATCGAAATTTTGTATTAAAAAATCAAAAAGTCGAAATCGACTTTTAATTTTTGAGGAAATCGCAAAGTCGAATTTTCAAAATAGATTTTCGATTTTCCTTTGCTGTAGCCTTATTCTGGATGCCAATTCCACGTGAATCTACTCGCTCTTCCCCTTCGACTTATTCTGAACAACATTTCCCAGTGATCCGAAAAAATCCGTTTGGGTATTCTGGTATTCAACTGCTGCAAACGTTCCAAGTCTACAGCAGATATATTGATTGTTTACAATTTTATATGCGTCCTTTAAATTTTAATTTATTTTTGATATTGTTAAATTTATGGTATGTTCCCGTACTGCAAGAATCAACTAGTTTTTTCTACGAGTAGATTCTTGCAGTACGGGAACATACCATTAATATTTCAGTGATTGTGAAACAGTGAAAAACGTTCCACCTGTTACGAATGGGATGGGATAAAACAAAATGCCCGGTAAAGAAGTAGTCAAAAAAGAAGACGGAAAGTTACGAATGAGGTGGGGTGGAGACTAAAAGAGAACGCAGTCAGAGAACCGAGCCACTGAAATGTCAATGTCGGCGTGGCAAAATAACAAGGCTCAAAACATAACTGATAAAACACAGAATCAAAACAAAATGATCAGCTGTTTGAGATGTCAACGAAAAAAAAACGTTTTACAACACTGCGTAGTGGAATACTTATTGCCTGGCGATACATCAAATTTACTTTAAAAATGGCCTTTGAAACATATTACTTTAAAAATCCACGCCTATAGCTGAGATAATGGGCTTTGAAAATATTACTTTAAAAATCCACGCCTATAGCTGAGATAATGGGCTTTGAAAATATTACTTTAAAAATCCACGCCTATAGCTAAGATAATGGCCCTTAAAAATATTCCTTTAAAAATCCACGCCTTCCTGATTTCGCTCTTGTGCCTATTGAACTGACTTCTATAAACGTCCCAATCTGTACTGAGTTTTGTCTTACTAGCTCTATTGTATGCTTTCCTTGCAGCCTTCCTCATTGATGCAAGGTTTTTTGACCAACATACCGGCTGAGATTTTTTCCCAGGTATGTTAGGGAACAAGAAGCCTCATAGCTATTCAGAAGAGTGACCGTAACATTGTTCACAGTTTCCTCAACATCCTCAACCGTTTTAAGAACTTTACGACCCAGGATTGAGGCTGCTGTTTTTGCTTTGAATTTGTCCCAGTTTGTCTTCCGAGGATTCCTAAGGCTTCTGTTTACCTCTGGAGGTAGGAATCTGGAAAGATATCATTCTATGATCCGAAAAGGAGCATTTCTCAGATACTTCCCAGTTCATAACCCCATCTCTCACTCTATTAACGAACGTTGGTGTATTGCCCCTATTACAAATTCTAAGATTATAGCTAAGTATAAACTCAAAAAAGGTCTCACCTCTCGCCTATAGCTAAGATAATGGTGCGTGAATTTTTATAAAAAAATGCATTTTTGTAGATTTCAATAACATTTTTTTTACTTTATTTCCGTTTTTTGTTTTGCCATTAATTCACTAAATTTTGGTTGATTTGTTTCTACATTTTTTGTTTGTTTGAAATTTTAATGTAAGATTAAAATGATGTATTTGTTTTCTTTGCTTTTTGTTATATTGTGATTGGTGTTTATATATACTATATATATTTATTTGTATATATAGATGTTAAAAGTAAATATATACGATTTGATATATTTTTGTATTTTCGTTTTTTCATTTGAAAAAATAAATCTTTCAATTCATGACTTAGGATCTTATACCCCTTATTCATTATCTAATAAGGTCTTGTTTGGGAACTAAAACCTAGACCCACACCACGCATAGTGTGCGTAACTTGCCGTGCCACTTCATATTGCTGTTCCATTGTTGAGAACATTGCTTCGCGGGATTTGTAATCGGGATTATTGTTGGGAGAGGTGCCGTCCGGTTTTTTGTCACCTGACTCAGCAGCAGCTGTTTCCGACGATGTAGGGGGAGCATTTTTTATACCCATTAGACGCATAAATTTCGATGCCACTTTACCATCTGAATCTTGCGAGAACTGGGCATGACCCCATTTCGAGGCGGCATCTTCGGTTTTCTTTGCGCCCCATATTAGTTTACGTTTTTGTATTTGTTCGGCATATTTATTGGGATTTATGACTTTGGGATTGTAATAACTAGGTAACTGTACCGTTGTGAGAGCTGCTGCGGGGGAATCACCATCCTGTTTTAAAGCGCCGATTGGAGGAACTGTTACAACATTGGGTTGTTTGGGTGCTGTTTCACTGAGTGGCAGGGATAAAAGGGCTTCAAAATTGCGTGCAGAAGGTAAGACCTTCTTTTCAGTAGCAACAGTCGGGCCATCACCTCCTCCTACTCCTCCCCCATTGGATGATAATGATCCTGACGACTTGGATTCATCTGGACGGCTGCATGATGTTGTTTCATTAGGATATTCGCCCCTTTGTGAGCTATGGGGTTCATTTTTGTTTTGTTTGCTTGACGATTCGGCTTGACCGCTTTGTGATTCATACTTACGCTGTTCATTTTCTTCGCGACGATCTAATGAATATTTGCTATTTGGTCGATATGATGATACCGATGATGATGCTGTTCTATCCTGATAATATGAGGAACGTTGCGAACCATTGCGATCATCTGTATTGCTGCGATAATCTTTTTTCTCATGGTAATCGCCGCTACGGTTGCGATAATCTCCTCCTCCCTTTTTGTCATTATATGAACTGCCATTGTTGTCCCCCCCGCCACGTCTTTCATCAATTATCCGTTTGTCATCACGACGATCATCGCCCCGTCGTTGTTGATCATTTGTTTTGCGATCATCATAGCGATACTTTGACGAATTAGTTGATGACCGATCTTTGTTATAGTTATTCGATGATGATGCCGATGATTTTCTATCATCATAACGAGAACGTTTTTCATCACGATAGTGATCAGCAGCAGCTCCGCCATCATTACGTTTATTGCCACTGTCACGTTTATAGTCCTTACTGTGTCGTTTATTATCCGAATACTGTAATTTAGAGATAAAAAATGAACAATTAAAAAGGCATCAAATTCCTAAAGAAGCAAATATATTAGATACCGGGATAAATAGCCCCAGCCTATGGTTTTTTGGAATTACTACACACACTGGTTTTAGTTTTCGCTTTATATAGGTATATGTTTTTTTATCAAATAGTCGACCCTCTGTGGAGATGTACCAGAAGTTTGAATGTTTGTGGTTCAGGTACCAGAAGGAGTAGATCGATGGGCCCCATCTTCGCATGATAATGTGAAATTATGTTTCAGCAAAATGTTGACCATTTTGTGGGGAAGGTACCAGAAGGAATTTTCCTGATTTAAGTTTGGACGAAAAATGTCGGTATGCAAAGTGTAGGAATTAGCGAATATTTCGGGTTATATTTATACGAGGGCTATGTCTAATTTATGACCAACATGTGTCAATTTCGACCCAATATTTTTGATTTGTGTCCTAATTCTTTCCTTCAGGAGGTATAATTATAGGGGGAGATGCCTAAATGCTGGCCGATATATTACATTATCGTCAGGTTCGAATTTTTTATTACGATTTCCTTAGAAATGGGAATGATTACAATCGATTGATAAGTCATAGAATTCCCTAATTTCTAGGGTTAAACTGAATATTTCAAGTAACGACTATCCCCTATACTATGGTAGAATATGGGGCAACCCCTACACACGGAACTAATCAGCTAACTATTTTAATATACAAGGGGGTTATATGGGAACTACCTCTAAAAAGGGGCGAATATTAATAATTTTTGGTTGGAAGTTTTTTTTTTATCAAATTACAGCGGTTTTGGTTTTGGATGGGTTTAAAATAATATTGCTTTATCTTGCATACTTTTCAAGAAAACCGGAGTCATATTTAAATTCAGTTTGAAGTATTTTTCCATCCTTGTGTATTTATAAAATAAACTGACATCATCAGCAAACATAAAAAGCTTTCCAAAAAACTGCATACTTTTCAAATCATTTTGAAAAGATTTGTGGGCATCGCTTGACAGGTACCAACGGACTTTCTTTATTCCCAATTTTGACAAATTGAAATGTACAAATTATATACACTCTCATTAGCCATAAGGCTGAGGTTAATATTTTCAATTTACTCACCCTTTTATCATTCCAATTTCCTCCATTGTCATAGTTCTTATTATAATCATCCTTAAAATCTCGGCTGTCACGATTATCTCGGCCATATTTTGAGGAATCTCTGCGGCCATCACCCCCTCCACCTCTGCGATCACGAGATGAATCACGATTATATTTTTCCGAACGTTGTTTGTCGGTTTTATGTTTATCCTGTAAGAGAAATGTTAGTGAAAGGAGACTAGACGTATTAATTTAATGATCCCGGAAGAAGGTGGTATTCAAAAAATTAATATTAAATTTAAATAAAAACTAGTATTTGTATATTTCATATCACAGACAAAATAAAAAATAATATTTAATTTAGTTTTACACCATTACCTTTTTTGTTTTAGAATAATAATTTTAAATATAATTTTTTTTAAATAATGATTTTTATATAAATTATAATATACTAATATATATTAACATGATTCATCTTATATAACTATACTATAAACCCTGTAAGAGAATATTTTTGTGGTATTTAAACATTTGGACATTTCAAATATGCTGTTTTTTATAAAATTGTTTATACTCACGTTTCGAAGCTGCCTCATATTTTTTTGGTAACTGTTCAAAACTCAATCTCCTAGAAGCTACACAGAGTCAGTTTTTCTTTGTGATTGAAAGAGTGAGGGGGGATCGGAGAGTAGAGTGATGAGAACACCGGCAGGCAGTTGTTATTGGTCGCCTGCCATTATCTATTCTTTTTTCTCGCCGTTCTTTTTCATTGGTAAATGGTTAATGTTTTCATGTTCTCTTTTTTTAATCGAATTTTTTAAACTCTTTCTACTTGGAAGTGAGTGTGATGATGTTCAAACATCTTCTCAATTATTGGGTAGTTTCTCAATCAATCGTATTACTTTTTATGTTGAGTTTTGTGGTTTTAAAAGCTTTTCGATTTTCTTTTATATGGGTTGTGTTTTTTTGACAATAATAACAAAAGTGGATATTTAATTAATAATGTATAAATGAGAAAAACTAAATAAACTATAATAAATTTATATGTACATATATTGGTAAATAAATAAATGAAATATGTAGACAACCCGTCAAAGGCAAAAAATGAAAAACAACCAACGATGAATACAAAAGAGTGGAATGTACGACCGAAACGAACCGCATCTCACACGGCGAAAAGAAAAGCAAAGAGTGACAAGTGTTGACATTAAAATTAATTAAAAAGTTTCCATTTTCCATAATGGTAATAGTAATTGTGCTTCTTCTAAATTTAGATTATAATTTTCCTAAAGATGTCCAAAAAAAACTTCAAACTTTTTAAGTCTAATTGAAATGCAAGCATGTAAAGAGAATATTTTAAAATGAATTCTACAAAATTTCAAAACTCAAATAAAAACCAGTAAAGAAAGTTCAAAAGTCGGACGAGGCCGACTATATGATACCCTTCACCCCTTTGGGTACATACAAGAGATGCTCATATGTACAATATCCTTTTGATAGAATAAACATATCATCTTTGGGACCACTGAAATTTGAACTAAATTAACACAACCCATACACATACCAATCTGAAATTTATGAAAAATTAAATTCCAATGCTCCACTTACATAAAATCGTACGAGACTATATGGGAGTTATGTCTAAATCAGAAACAATTCCAGCGAAACTTCGCATACATAAATATTGACCTAATTCAGTACGCTGACTCTTTGGTGTTCCTTTTACATAAAATCGGACGAAACTTTATATGGGAGCTATATCTAAGTCTGAACCGATTCCAACAAAACTTCGCATTCATCAATCTGGACCTAATTTAATACTCTGTGCATAATTTTGTCTCAATCGGACCAATATTGGCAGTATGGTGCTACATTTACATAAAGTCGGACGAAACTATATATGGGAGCTATATCTTAGTCTGAACCGATTCCAACAAATCTTGGCACACATCAATGTGGACCTAATTCAGTACTCTGTGCACAATTTTGTCTCAATCGGACCAATATTGGCAGTATGGTGCTACATTTACATAAAATCGGACGAAACTATATATGGGAACTATATCTAAATCTGAACCGATACTCTGTGCACAATTTTGTCTCAATAGGACCAATATTGGCAGTATGGTGCTCCATTTACATAAAATCGAACGAAACTATATATGGGAGATATATATAAGTCAGAACCGATTCCAACATAACTTCGCATACATCAATCTGGACCAAATTTAGTACTCTGTGCACAATTTTGTCTCAATATTGGCAGTATGGTGCTACATTTACAAAAAATCGGACGAAACTATATATGGGAGCTATATCTGAATCTGAACCGATTTTTTTCCAATTTCAAAAAGGTTTGTCCTTGAGCCAAATTAGTGATATGTGCCAAATTTCATTCAAACCGGATCATAAATGCGACCTGTAGATACTTTGTTCACAAAAATACATGGACGGACGGACAAACGGGCGGACATGTATAAATAGACTCAGAAAGTGATTCTATGCATATTCTCAAAAGGAACCATGGGTCTATGTCGATATTCAGAAGCATGTTCACAAAGGCAAATTGATTAATGGAAAGACAATACACCTAGCATGTTAATTGTAAAATGTCAATATAATCGGATAAACAAAAAATTGGCAATCAAAAAACAAATGGGTACACCACATTTGCATCACTTACTCTACCTTTCATACTCTTAAAGTACTTCTTTCCAAAACTAATTCCAAATTTCATAATTTGAGCTCTATATATTAAACCAAATCTTAATTTTACCAAATTTAGTACCATTTAGTACACATTAATATAAATCCAATAGAAATCATATTTGCAATTTCAGGATTCCAGTCCGATCGCTTCACCCAAATATATAAATTTTCAAAACTTCCAATATACCCCAATTCTAAACTCCAACAATGATCCTAACTCCAAATTTTAGGATGGCAGCTCTATCGGTTCATCCAAAATTTAATTTGTACCAAATTTAGTATACAATAGTACGAATTTCCTACATAATCCAAACCTACCGAACATGATGATCCTAACTCCAAATTTCAGGATCCCACTAGTACCCATAAGTATGAATTTCCAAAACTTCATCCCAATCCAACACTCCAAAAGTAACTTTATTTCCAAATTTAAGGGTTCCAGATCAATCGGTTTACCAAATTTCAGGATCCCACTTCTATCGGTACACGAAAAATTTAAATTGTACCAAATTTAGTACCATTTAGTACCCATAAGTATGAATTCCCAAAACTACATTCCAAAAGTAACTACGAAATTGTACCAAATCTATTTTAGTACTTTTCTTATACTTATAGTTCGAATTTTCAAAAACCCTTGGGTACATATATTCTACACTTTATCAATGACGCTAAATATAAATGTCAGATTTCTAAGTCTACGGCGGTTCCCCAAATACAAATGATACCATATTTAGTACTTTTCGTTAGTACGAATTTCCAAAAACCCAGCCTTATCTGTCATCTTTAGGCCAACAGTGACCCTCACCCAAAATTTCAAGATTCTAACACTTGTGGCATCGCTTGATGCTGTCACAATAAATCGGCTTTATCTTCAAGAGTTGTTGAGATGAAATTTTGAAATTTGAATAATAAATTCTTGAGAAGTTGTATTCGTGGCTTAAGTCAAGTTTAGAAGTTCCACTCGGATTGCTGATAAAAGTGATATATATTTTGCTGATAAAAGTGATATATATTTTGCTGATAAAAGTGATATATATTTTGTATGTGGGGGAAATGCATACTTCCCGAGATATGGGCCTTGAAAGTTCGGAGAATAGTTTGTTTGCATCGGCCGTTTTAAAATTTCCAGCAAGGGCAAGGAATTTTGACATGTTCCTAACACAATATTTATAACAAAACCAACTGCGAAGGCAACCCATTGTGTAAAAGCAGTAGGGATGCTACAACAACAACATCCATATTCAAAACAAAAAAAAGGAAATTTTATTCCCCCCACATATATTACGCGCCACAATATGGACAATGTGTGTAATTTGATAATATTAAAATAATATTTTTAGTTAAAAATGCATATATATTTTTAATTACCTCATCGTGATGACTGTTGTAATGACTGCCACTGCTGCCGCTTATGTTGTTGGCACCGCTACCACCCTTGGAGGAACGTTCACTGCGATTTTTCTCTTTGCGAGAAGGTGGCGGCGGTGGCGTTCCATGTTCACTGTCATTGCTCGAACTGGATGAAATCACGGAACGTTCACGCCGCTGTTTCTTATCACCAGATCCACCGCTTCCGGATGCACGCTGCTGTCTACTATCACGTTCAGCCTAAAGGAATTGGGCAACTATTCAGAAACAGCAAATATGGTGTTATTTCAAAGTACAAACTAAATTAATAATAGCATATTTTAAGATATTTTTTTTCTAGTTTGATCTATCTAATCTATTTACGTACTATGTGTTAATAATGTAACTTTTTTTCGTCAATTTTTTTTTATATTTTTTTCTCTATACTAAAATTCTAGTTAGTCCTATGGATGGACAGCCATTTGTGCCATTTGTTTGTTTCATTTTTAATTTTTTGCACGCACACAAAATTCCCGAGATAGTAAATTATAATCTATTTTGTTTTTATGTATTTACCGCTTTTGTGTATGAATAATCATCTTGTTCCTCCTCGCTGCTGTAATTTACAAGCCCGGACATAATATTTTTTTGTTTAATTTGTTAAAATATGAATTTTTACAATTTTTTCTATACTGAAGACAAATTGGAAAACGTTCCACCTTCCAACTTAGGGATAAGTAAATCGAATTTCGACTATTTGTATCATGGCCCAACCACCAAGGGAGACCAGCTGATTATCGATACCTCTCAAGTTTGCTGTCAAAATGCATTATTGTGAATTGACTTCCATTATGAAAACGTAAACAAAGTCGAAGTTTTTGACATTAGACTTGAGAAAAAACAGCTGTTTTCCGATTTCGATTGCTATCTTGGTGACCTTATTAATAGATCATGGGCCCAATAAACAGTTCGATTAAGAAGCAATCGTTATCGGCAATTATGGACTTAAATCCCGCGAATCTGTCAAATTTGTTGTTTACGTTTTCACACTATTTAGTCAAAATCATGGCCTATAAATAAGGTCACCCAGGTGAATTGACTTCCATTATGAAAACGTAAACAAAGTTGAAATTTTTGACATTAACAGCTGTTTTCCGATTTCGATTGCTACCTTGACCTTATTAATGGATCTTGGTCAAAATTGAATGCATTTTGGCAGATCAGGTGAAATCATCTTGACTCATCGGACGATCTTATCATTGAACCATGATTTGTATGAAAATGTCTAAAGGGATCCATACACTATACATCATTGGTCTGTTCCCGTACTGCAAGAATCTACTCGATTTTAATATTTTCTTCGATATCATAAAGGGCTAAGCAGAATGCTCACGTTGAGCCATCCGTCGCGTTATATGTTATCGAAAATACAACAACCACAAGGAAACGATAACACAAACGCTCGAAGTTGATGTGCGCTGCGCTTCGGAGTTAAATATATTTTAACTTTTTGCGTGCGTTAACGCCCTTAAAGGAAAATTTGTTATCGTAGTAAAAAGTAGTAGATTCTTGCAGTACGGGAACAGACCACATGTCGTACAGCATTTAAGCGGTGTACACACTATTACTTTTGAATGACACTCTTGCGCAAATGTTGCTTGTCTGATATTGTGACATCTTATATTCGTCATTCATCTGGGAACCAAGAAAATATTCATGGTTGTTGGATAGTCTGTAACCGATAATAGAAGTGATAGTCAAGATCAATATATCTTAATAAGGTCACACAGGTAGCAATCGAAATAGGAAAAAAGATGTTTTTATTTGAAGTCTGTTTTATTGAAGTCAAAAACTTCGACTTTGTTTACGACTTTAGTTAATTCACAATATCCCGCAGGTCTCCCTGGATGGCCTTATTTATAGGTCAAGATCTATTAATAAGGTCACTCAGGTAGTCATCGAAATCGGAAACAGCTGTTTTTCTCACCGTACACCGCTTTATCATAGTTGGTCTGGATCATGGCACAATAAATAGGTAGTCCATTTAACGCAGCTGATGGCTTGATTTACTGTCAAAGTGCGTAATTTCTACTTGAATACGATGTGCAATGTTGCCAACCATGTGAAATATTATATGGAAAATGTTGACAGATGCTCGAGACACCACCTTATTATTGCATCATGAGCTATACTTAATCCAGACCAAGGCCTATAAATAGAGTCGATCAGGGAGACAAGCTGGATATCAGCTGCCGTTAAGTTTGCTGTCAAAATCCATTATTGTGAATTGACTTCAATTGTGAAAACGTAAATAAAAGCCAAATTTTTGACATTCGACTTGAGAAAAACATCTGACTTTCACTCAGCAACGTTCTGCGTATCACAACAGCAACCTTTTTTGTCTCGATCATCTAAGGGCTAAGCAGAATGTTCGTGTTGAGCCATCCGTCGCGTTATGTGTTATCAAAAATAAAACAACCAGACGGAAACCAAAACACTAACAGTACGTTTACATTGTACTGGATTTCGTTAAGCCTGCTGGTTAAAATTGTCAATTCCATTGTATATATGCCAAATAAATGCTCATAAAGCAGTACGGGAACAGACTAATTGTGTTTGCTGTCGTACACAAAAAAAGTAAATTTATCATGTTAATTTATAAATGTTAACTATCCATCTCTGGGATAGATTTTGAATCAACGGTTTTCACTGTTGGCTGTTTACCATGGTATAATAATAGAAGGTAACAGCAAGTGTTGTTGTACAAAAAACGATACAACAACCACATGGAAATTTGTTGTTGTAAGTTCTACTAGTGTCAACTCATTTGACAGAAAAATGTAAATAAACAAACAAATTATCATCAAATTATTATTTTGAAAATGAAATATTTTCGAATCCTCAAAATAAAAATTGAAAAATATGAATGAAAATCTATCAAATTTATATTTCTATCTATTCCACATCTTTCCTATAATTGAGCCATTGCCATATATATGTGTAACACATATGAAAATGCTGGGAATAGCGAGTTATTCCTTGAAGAAAGATTTGCTTCCTCAAACTTTCCCAGCTGTCAGATTGAGTAAATTGAATACAGGAGCACATTTAATAAAGAACAATTTTAAATTGTATGCGTTCCCAATTTTCCTGTTGGGTGATTTTTAAAAACATAATTTGTCAAATTCATATTGACACTAGTATAACGTTGGAATCAAATCAGCTGGGATTTGCAGTTACCTTTTATAATTGTACCATGGCTGTTTACTTTCAAAGCCGGCATAATGTACAAGTGCTGGTTAACGAAAAGCAAATATAAACGGAGGTAAAAATGTGTAAAACTGTGCATATGTTGACGCATAATTCTTTAAAAAAAATATGCCATAAAAATATATTATGGTTATTATCTATATATATAAAAGAGTTGCGTTATAAGTGACTGACTGATCATCAACGCCCAGACGAAACGGCTAAAGCTAGAAACTTGAAATTTGGCATGTAGGTTGGGTTTGGTGGGGAGGCGTGTGATAAGGCGGGGTTTTTGGAAATTCGTACTAAAAGGTACTAAAAAGTACTAAAAACTGCTTTACGGCGGAACGGTTAGAATTAGAACTTTGAAATTTGGCACGTAGCTTTGTCTATGACGAGCGAAGTGGTATTTATGAAAAAATTTGGAATTTAGTACTAAGAGGTACTAAAAAGTACTAAACATTGTATTTTAATGGAATTTGTAGATATACATATCTGAAATTTGGTATGTAGCTTAGGCTATTACAAATAGAAATAAGTGCAAAAATATTTTTTGGAAATTAGTACAAAAAAGGTACTAAAAAGTACTAATACTGTATTACGCCGGAAAGGTTAGATGTAGAACTCTGAAATTTGGTATGCAGCTTTGCCTACGATAAGTCAAGTGGTATGTGTGAAAAAATTTTGGAATTTAGTACTAAGAGGTACTAAAAAGTATTAAATATTATATTTAAATGGAATCGGTAGAGATACATATTGAAATTTTGTATGTAGCTTAAGCTATGAAAACAAGAACGACGGGCACAAATATTTGTTGCAAATTAGTACTAAAATGGTACTAAAAAGTACTAAAACTGTATTTCGCCGGAACTGTTGGAAGCAGATCTTTGAAATTTGGTATACAGCTTTGTCAATAATAATCCAAAGGGCATGTGTGAAAAAGTTGGAATTTAGTACTAAGGGGTACTAAATATTATATTTGAATGAAACCAGTAGAGATAATTATCTGAAAATTGATATGAAACTTTAGCTGTTACATATAAAATGCTGTAAAAAATATCTTTTGGAAATTAGTATTGAAATGGTACTAAAAAGAACTAAAAATATATTACACCGGAACGGTTGGAAGTAGAACTCTGAAATTTTGTATGCAGCTGTGTCAATGATAGGCGAAGGGGAATCGGTGAACAAATTTTGTACTTAATGTACTAAAAAGTACTAAACATGGTATGTAACTTAAGCTATTACAAATAGAACGATGGGCAAAAATATCTTTTAGAAATGAATACTAATGTACTAAAAAGTTTTGAATATTATATTACAATAGAACCGATAGAGATATGAATTAGCTTTTACTATTACAAATTAGTACTTAGGAGGTGATAAAAAGTACTGAATAAAAAATACAATGGAACCGTTAGAAATAGAAATCTCAAACGTGGTATGTTGATTTAACTATTATAAATACTTTGCTGTGCATATTTTTTTGAAATTAGTACTAAAATGGTAGTAAATATTAAAGGACAACTGAAACATAGTATGTTACTTAATTATTTCACATATAAGTACAAACTTCTGTACCATTGTTAGTACGCAAACTAATAAATGTTAGTATGGAAACTACTAAAAATTTTACATGGGTATTGAGCGATTAGAAGTGGTAAAATAAATAAATAAAAGTATACAAGTACTAAATATTGGGTACGGTAAAACGGATAAAGATAGAAACTTGATTTTTTTGAAATTAGTACTAAAATGGTAGTAAATATTAAAGGACAACTGAAACATAGTATGTTACTTAATTATTTCACATATAAGTACAAACTTCTGTACCATTGTTAGTACGCAAACTAATAAATGTTAGTATGGAAACTACTAAAAATTTTACATGGGTATTGAGCGATTAGAAGTGGTAAAATAAATAAATAAATAAAAGTATACAAGTACTAAATATTGGGTACGGTAAAACGGATAAAGATAGAAACTCTTATTAAATACTTATCTGGAATTATAAGATTAAAATGTACTAAAAAGCCCAACATATTGTGTATGGCGGTACGGGTGGATATAGAATTTGGTACAAGGATTTTTCTATGAAAAACAATGTAAACAACTAAATATTGTATACGACAGAAGGAGTAGAGGTAGAGTCCAGAAATTGTGTATGAAAATTCGTACTAAAAATTACTAAATAGGAAAGTTTAGAGAAAGCTATCTGAATTTTAGTATTTATCTTTGACTGTGGCAATTAAAATGTTTATGGAAATATTTTTCGAAGACTTTTACTAAAAATTACTGAGAGTTACATGAAAGCATGGTACAATAACAAGAGGTAGGATAATGGTACCTGCTGATTACAATTTTTTCTTGAGGTGCCCCTATTATGTCAAAGCAGAGTTGATATTTTTTAATTGACATGACAATTACGTTAAAATAAATTCAAATTTGTCATTCTTAAGCAGACAATTTATTACACTGATTAACAATATTTTAAGCTTTCAAATGATGTGCATGTAAGTTTAATCGATTCAATAAACCTGGTACAAAAAGCAGAGATATAAAGTTTTTTTCATACATTTTATAGGTACCACCAACAAATTCATAATCATAACACAACAACATGACCTCTGGCGAATTTGTCCTTTTGGGTTCATAATATACTCGCAAGGGCTTTCATTCCCATAAGAAATTTTCTACCCCCAGAACATGAGCTTCAATTAGTGTCACAGTGTTATTTATTAATTTAATTTTATTATAGGCCAATAGAATTATATAGGGAAATGCAGAAACTCAACCTTGATAAGCACCTAAGTCATGAAAACTCATTCACTTGGGTGGACCAGATTTCGAAAGGTCACTGAAAAAGGCATCAACGCAATTCCTCATAAAAATTAAACAGCTAGAGCTGATTTTTGAAAATGTGAATGGAAGCCAAATAAGCCATAACGAACAACTGCATAGCCGGATGACCAAAATGAGTACATATGTAGATCTGCCTGACAAAGTTAAATCGTTCTTCTTTAAATGTCGTATTTATTTTTGCATAAAAACCCTAAACACTCATTTAAAAATCAAAAAAGCTAAACAACAAATATTAGGCAAAAAAAAAAGGTAAAAATTCCACTTTAAACTGTAAACGAAAATTTTCTGTAGTAATGTAATTGGCTCTCAGATTTGTGAGATGCAATCCAAAAATAGCATGTGATATTTGAAATATCTATGCATATATATTATATAATTGAAATAAAACGGAAATCTTTAATGCATAACGAAAAATTTTTCACTGATATTTATGGTACATTCCAGTACTGCAAGAATCAACTAATTTACTTTGTTATCGTAGTAAAAAATTGTACATTCTGCAGTACGGGATCAGACCATTAATGTAATCACAACGCATTACAGCTTCAAAAATTTACTTGAATCATGTTCGGTCTCATGAATAGTAAGGAAAATATTTTATACGGCGCAATCATCGCGTTTAACGTACCAAAAATTCAAATATATTTAACACCCTACTGCAACGCAGAACATTCGGCGTAGATGTTGTCTGCACCGTGATGTATTATCTATAACACAATGCGACGGGCTATTCATCGCATCAATTCTGTCTTAGCATTTAATATGTGAAAATGATGCATAAACAGGAGGTGTGCGTTTTTAGAAGATATAACAGAATTTGAATATATTTTTAAAGAAATTCAGGATGGGACATGGACTGCGAATGTTGCTCAATATCTTTTAAATGCATCGTATAAAGCTGCACCATTACATGAGGGGTATACATTTCTGTTCACTGTTATAACGCAAATTTGTACCACTTATCATTCACTTATTTTGTAGTATATTAATATTAATACAAACGTCAAATATCAAAACAAAAATATACAAATCAGTTTTGAAGTATGTCATCTAAAATTATTTTGACGTTATAAGACACAGCTACAGAGCTGTATTTTTCTATTTCCTTCGAAGTTACTCTACCTCTTGTTATTGTACCATGCATGAAAGATAGTTTCCAATTTGACATGGATCTATACTACAACGAATGATTATGTATTTTGGTTTAAACTTCCGATGTAGTGAAAAACGGACGAGACTTCATATACAAATAAGTGAAACTATGCAAACAATCCGCTAAACACCACAAGTACTAAATTGTTGGCACTTCTAAACAAAAATGTTTTTAAAACTTCTACTTAAAAGCTCAGATATTTATTTCCAATGAGGTTTCTAACCACACTGGACTTCCGATGTTATGAATATTGGGCGGGATCTTTATGTCGAGGATATACAAAAAATATCGAAAATTTTTCCAATGGGGATTTTGTAACAAGTAACATACAAGAATTTCCCATAATATGATGCGCTTTGCAGAATATTATATTAGAAATTCGTACTATAAGGGTACACAAGTACTAAAACGTACTACAAATTTCACCATTAGCATGTAATTACCGAAAGAAGCAAAAAAGTTAAAAAACGTACTATTTGCATTAATCCATCGGGAAGATCGTGAAAATCTTACACTTTCAGAAAAATAAATATAAGAAAGTTGTACTCGATTTATTAGGTTAAGTAGATTTACGCATCAACGTTTCGGTTCGAAAAAAAGCTAAGTAGGATCTAATATTTTATTCGAAATATTTCAAATTTATATTTAGTCCAAAAGTAAAGCTAAATTAACCCTTTTTTATTTTAACTACAAAAAATCCGCTAACGACGTAGCGGGCATATGCTAGTATGTATATATATATACACACTGAAAGCTCGATACACATTTTCACTCGATCTGTGTGAACGTTATTTCCAGTCATGCTTTGTTTAGTGTTGTAAAACGATTGTTTTAAAAGTGACACATTCTCGGAGCGTCCTCTGCCGGTGACAAGCCATACTATTATTGTTTATCTCATCATTTCTCTCTGAGGGGGGTTGTTTTTCTTTGTGGTTCGTGTACGTTTTCAAATGGGAGGGAATTTTCTATTATTTGAATATACATCCAATCCAAACATCCAACAACACAACAACTAAAATCCACCGCATCCATTGAAGAAAATAACATTTGTAGCGGATACCAATTCATGACCATCTGCTGGTTGCATTTGAATAGACCAACAGCTGCTTCTTGCTGTGCGTGGCTCGTGCTAGTGGGTAAAAGTAAAATTGCTGATTGCATTCCACTGCATTCATTTTCCGCTCACGACACATTATGGAACGTCGCCTGCCCAGAACACCACGAATAAACGATACAATTGAGGAATATTATGAAAAATTTGGTAAATATCGAAATTTGGAAAAATTCCTACGCATAAATTCACCGGCGGGTAGCGAGGCAATATCATCGAACAGTAGCTGTGAAGTATTGGCGGCGAAAATGGCAGCTAACAACCCACTGGGTGCCAGCAGCAGTTGTTGTAAAAGTATGCCCAATATACACGAAAACGAGAAGGTACAGTTTTGTGGTGGTGGTGGCACCCTAAAGGATATTCTGGTGGATATTAATATCGAATTGGAGGATGATGCCGTAAAGATATTTAGCAACTCTAGTGAAAATCTTCATACACCAAAAAAGGCCGGAAATGGCGTGGCCATACAAGAAGTTAAAACACCCGACTCCATTGCAAAGACTCATCGACGATTGGAATGGGATTCATTGGGGGATATTGGCTATAAAAAATCCATGTCCACAAGTAATATAAGTGTGCTGGAGAGATCATTGCTAAAAGAGTTCTTTAAGGAGAGCAGTGTCACATCGGAACCAGCAACTACTAAGTTGCATGACGAACAAAAGATATTGGAAGAGAAACCACAATCGAAGAAGTTGGAAAATAAACAATTGGAAAATATGAAAAGCAATGCCATGGAACATGCTACCCCTCCTTTGGCTTGCAGTACATTGGTTGAGGGTCTTTCGGCCAACGTGAAAAGCCGTGGTGGAGCCAGACCAAAAATGCTGACAAAAAGTACATCATCAACATCACTGCAAGAGAAATTTGAAAAATATGCTCAAACCTCGATGGTAAAGCCAGCACCAAGTCGTGAAACTCAATCTCAAGAAATTCAAGTATCCCTCTCCTCATCGACTTCGGTAATTGAGGGTACAGCGACGCCTTCAAGTTTTGAATATTACTCATCAAGATCATCTAAATCCCGATCATCTATATCATCGGTGGCTGCCGGAACGTCAAGTAATTTGTCAAATGCCTGTATACCACCATCATCAGTATCGGCTCAACATCCATTTATAACAAGTATTACAGATTTGTTGAGGAAAAGAAAGGCATTAAATGAAAAGTCGATACAAGCACGTAATACTCCAACATCACGGGAATGCATTAAAGATTTGAAAAATCGCTTTCAAGCTGCCCTAGAGGAAAATAAAGAAAATCAATCGCATGCCAATACGACAACCGCATCCTCTAGTAATTCTTTTTCATTGACCCGACAAGCTCCTGAATTGGATTTGGGTATACAGCTGATATGTTCCCTTATCGATGCGAAAAAAGTTAACGAAAAACAAAAAAAGAAATTAATACGTGATATAGTTAAACGTCTTACGCGTTTAGTTGATGAGCAGTCAGCAGTGCAGGAGCAGAACTCAGAGAGGGGAGATTCAACATCATCAAATAAATCAAATGTGTATGATGCTGTTTATTCTCGTCTGGGTAATGGTTCATTGCGAAGTATTCATGAATTTCCCAACAATAATGGTAGAGCATCAAAAGCTAGAGCTGAGGAAAGATCATTAGGTCTTAAATCATTGGACGGGAATGGGTCCTACAACCAATGTCTATCCCATATGACTGTAAATTCGACCAGTGAACAAGATGATAGTCGTGGTAAGTATTATTTTGAACCCGATTTTATTATAACACTTAGCTGCATACTAATTACAATGGCATTATTTTCCATTTGTGGGGTTCCAAAGTTCCGAAAATATTTTAAAGCAGTGTGCATTCCCTCCCATTTGAAAATACGGACCTATTTGTCACTTGGAAAAAATTAAATCCTAAACTGTTTGACCTAGTTTTAAAAATCAATGCCTAATGTTGGGTTCTTGGAAAAATATTTTAAAAATCCTGGGATATTTGACCATTGGAAAAAATATAAAATAAACCCTGTATATAAACCCTGTTCAAATCAGGATATAAAGAGCAAACTCAGACAATTTTTGTTTTTCTTGCCCTTAAAGAATTTTATTCATAACTAATCCTACTTTTTTAATTTCCAGGCAAACCTCGCAACGACAATGGCCGTGTTGTTCAACCTCATACCGGGCATATGAAAAGCGAAAATCACTGTGACAAAAGCCAACAGACAAATACCTTAAATACAAAAACAACATCTCCACCACCTACAAATATTTTAAATGAAAATCACAAGCAAGTGCCAATTACAACAATAGCAACAAAGGCTATGAAACATATCAGAGATGTGCAAAGTGAACTAATTACCGAAACAAAGGATAGGGTACCAAAGCCAATAGAAATGGAAAATTTAATATTGAATATTAAAACAACACGTTCAACACAGACAAGCAATTCATCTAAAAACAGTACTGAGATGTCTAAAAAATTGCCAAAGACAACAAATTCAGCAAAAACCGCATCCACAGCTTCGTCGGAAACAAATGCCAGCAAAACAACCGGAACAACTTCAACCTCATCTAGATCATCCCATGATTTACCCACACAAAAGACAGTGCGAAAAAACCCACCAATTTCCACCTATGACACAGATGGCGATCAGGCCACCATGCGTGAATGGCTTAATCCGTTGACACAATCCGAAATTGAATATGAGGAAAAGAAACGAGAAGAAAGTAAAAAGAAGGCCGCCAAAGAAGCTCTTCTGAAACGGGAAAAAAGTCTCAAAAAATCCAAACAACAACATAGCAGTTGTGGGCGAGAGAAACAATTAAATTGGATTGAAAGTGAAATACATCGTCTGGAGTGTTTGAAACATTTATTACTAAAAGATCAACAACATCATTATCATGATAATACATCTTCTGTTCTAATGTCCTCCGATCAAAGTTCAGTGCCTTTGAAGGAAACCTTAAACTCCAGCACACAACACACGGATAAGCTGTATGACTCGGTGTACTCGGATAAATCATCTGTTTTAAGTGAATCCGCCGAACGTTTGGTTAAGGAAATTGAAGTAATACTCGAAGAGACCAATGAAGATGTTTTGGAATATAATAATAATCCGGCAAAAGGTGCGGTTGTCGAAAATGAATTTGAGTTGCACATTAATATACAAAAAACTAAACACAAACATAAGGAAGAAGAAAATTATGGACATAAACATGACGAGAAACCAATACAAAGACAAAAAATCGATACACCTCCAAGTGCTGGAACAGCCGATCACAGCCCAGCGGAAGGTGGAGAAAGTTTACGGGACATGGTAAAGCAAAGAAAACAAGAATTTATGGCGTCGTATAAAACTAAAAAACAAAATCATTATGATATTTTAAAGCAACAACAAAAGGTTGAGGCTGGATTTAAATATTTACCGATTAATTCAAAGGAAAGGCAGCAGGGTTATTATTCAGTTCCCCACACAATGAATAGGAGATTTTCACCCACAGAATATGCTTATCCACAAAGTGATTTACCACCCACGCCACAGGAGAAAAGAAATTCCTCCTCAGAATCATCGCATGTGATTTATAGCACGGCAACAACCGGAGCATTTCAAAAGCGACCCGAATTACCAAAACCCTCAACATCTGTCACCAACAGAAACAACACCACCACAACAACAACGGCATCTTCGGCCTCTATTTTTTGTATGTCCTCCGATTGTTCGGTACCAATGGGTTCGAAAAATTGTTCATCCACCCCGACAACTACTCATCATTATGATGATGTTGCCGCTGCTGTGGCTGGTTGTGCACAAACATCCGACTCATATCATGGTGATAAACATCAATTACAACCCTATATCCGGAGACAATGTCCCCAACCATTAAAAGACGCTATACAAACCGACATAGTGAAAGCGGCTGCCATACAAGTTAAACCCAAGGGTATTGCATATGTTATCGAATTTGAAAATACGAAAGAAATGAATAACAACAATAACTGCTTAAAGAATAATGATGACAATCTTCAAAAATCGACCTCGACATTTACCACAAACAATCTGAAATGCATGGAAAAAGAAGGTCCTCAATTAACACTGCAAGAACATTTGGAAAGAGGCAAACCGAGTTTCTTAAAACACAGCAAAGAACGCAAAGCCATACTCAATAAACTGCAATCTATGCGTCAGGAACGCGATCGTCAATTAAGGGATATTATCGATAATACAAGTTTTAATTCCCTGGAGCGACGTTTGAAATATCTACCACCGCCACCAATGCGTAAGTGTTTTTTTTTCTTTAATTTGCCAAAAAAATGATATACGTATATACATACATATGTACGTATATAGATTTTTTTATTGCTAATTTGGGATTTTTTCTTATTGTTTTTACTTACAGAAAAGTTACGCATTTTGAAAACCAAGGAAATGAAGGCCTTAACCAACAAACGGGTTGCCTCTCTTCCCGAAGTTGTTGCCCGCAAACAACAAGAATTAGAAGAGAAACGACGTCGTGGCAATCGTATTTTGCGTGACGTCTTTAATTTGGTAAGTAAACGATTTTGATAAATATCTGCTTCTTAAAAATATTCTTTAATAATTTACGCCTTGTTTTGGTCGGTCCTTGAAAAATATAATCCTTAATAATCCGCTCCTTGTTTTGGTCTTTGAAAAATACTTTCTTACTTAGCTGGCTTGTTACAGAACGGTTGTTCTATAAGTCTGGTTTTATACATGCAACTTTTTAAGCAACTTTGCTGCTACTCTCTTCCATTCTCTATCGAATTTCTTCCCCCTTGTCATTTTTTATACTTCCCACTTCTAAGAAGTCAGCCGAGTTGCTTACAAAAGTTGCATGCATAAAACCAGGCTAAGTCGAGCTAAAAAAGATTTCCAAGCGCGTCGGTCTTGTGCGCATCTCCTCCAATTTGAAAGACCATGCTCCGAGATCTTGTCTTTTGAGCTGGGGCATTCTCATTCATTCGCACAACATGATCTAGCCACCGTAGTCGCTGCAGCTTAATACGACTGACTAGTATTGAGCTGCAGCGACGTCGATGTCCGCGTATAGATTGTACAGCTCGTGGTTCATTCGACGCCGATATTCACCGTCGACGCAGATCGGTCCGTAGATCTTTCGGAGAATTTTTCTCTCAAACACCCCAAGAGCTGCCTCATATGCTTGGTCTGGTGGGACCATAGTAGCATCTGTTGGCCAACACTATCCTTCTCCGAATTTCAAAACTGATGTCATTAGTTTTATTTATAATGGTACCAAGGTATATAAAATCTTTAACTACCTCGAAGCTGTAGTTCTCAAGTTCCACAGTTGGTCCTAGTCTACTGGACGCGTTGATGCACGCTGTCTGTATCTATCACCAGGTTACCTTCTTCATCTCTATGGGAAGATGTGCCTGCACCAAAGCCTTCGGTTTGGTGTATTACTCATTGGTAAAATTTCCGGACTTCATTCTGACTCCTGTACATCTCGATTTGCTCACGCTCATGTTTTTCTCGTTCTTTCTTCTTTGTTTTCTGAAAATACAATTCTCCTCTCTCATTTTCTCCCGATAATTCTCTCTCGCATTACATGTTGCTACTAGCTGCAGGGTTGCCCTATACGGTACGTTATTCACCTCAGTAGCATTACGACACTCCTGATCGTACCATGGGTTTCTTGATGGTGGTTTTTGGTATTCAAGAGTTGCTTTTGCTGCAGTTTGTAGGGAGTAGGCAAATCTTTGTCATTGTGCTTCTATACTATTATCAGGGTAAGTTGAGCGTAGTAGGACGCCTCAACCCTTTTTTTTATAATTCTTATGGGTGAACTCGCGGCACATATGAAAATATATTCCTTGTTTTGGTCGGTCCTTGAGAAAATATTCCTTTAAAAATACACGCCTTATTTTGGGTGCTTTAAAAATATGTATATATTTATTTATTTTCTTTTCTCTTTCATTTCAGCGTCTACAAAAACGTGTACGCAGTGGAAAACTATCGTTGAATCATAGCAAAGTTGTTGTATGATAAAAAAATATTTTAATTCATAAAGACAATTCAATATTATAGCCAAAATATTGAAGCATGTTCTTTAAAACAAATTATTTTTGTTAAAAAAAATATTTAAAATTAAGCAAGAGAACATATAAATTCCGTTAAATATGTTTGTTTTTTAGATAATAACTTTAGTGTAATACTGGAAGAACAGAATTTGTTATAAAATAAAATGTTAGAATATTTCGAAAATAAATAAAGAACATTTATTAAAAAAGTCTAGAAAATGTCACCTCCAAACCTCATTCTATCCATTATTCTTGTTCTCAATAACAAAATCCATTATCACCTGGCTCAAAATATTTCCCATCATTGTGTACCATTTATTGATATTGTCTGGAGTCGCCGGTGCATGGGTAGTGTAACGCGTGAACTTAAACTCAAATATAAAGATCGGCGAATTGATGTCGGAACGAAATTTACAATATATACCACACAAAATCGCAACATGGGTGTGCTGATAACATTTCACGATTCACCCGTTTCGCGTTGTCAACATTTTGTTTATAATTATTATAAGAAATTTATTTGTCTGCCGACGGCATCAATTGATGAACTCCATGGACCCGATGCCAAACAATTGGAATTGTCGTTTAGTAATTGTTATTGTTATAATTTCTTTTTGGGTTATGTCAGTGAATTGGTTGGCCTGTGCAGTCTACAGACGAATGTACTATTTGAAGTTTTTGATTTAAAATATTCGGCCATACATTATACGAGGGCGCGTCAAAGAGGCGGAAGTCGTCTGAAAGGAAATTTTGTGTTAATTGTTTTTGTAATAATTGTTGGAGTAATAAAATTGTGGTAAAATTTGAAATATTTGAATTTTTGTTTTAAATTATTATTGAACATGTGTTTCAGGCGAGAGAACTTTCACCTATCATACTTCGGGTATTATAGGTGAGCCACCCCACCTGGAGACCTAGCTACCTTATCCCCATATTGACCCGAATGGCCGTGAATATCATAGAATTTGTTTCTACGTATTCTGAGACGACTGCACCATCTTGAAAGTAACAGAGCAAACAACTAATCTAAACAGCCTACGGGTTTATTGCAAATAGACTAATGGATAAAGCCATTAGAGGTGGCTTTATCCATTAGTCAATATCACCACGTCGTCCGCATAGGCTACGACTTTGCTAACTTTTTTAAGTGAGTGGTTTACGGACTCAATTTTAACGTTATTGAAAGCTCCTTCTATATCGGGCAACGGCCAACGTAAAGTTCGAGTTTTCCATATTCCTCCCAATATAACTTACCGCCTCGTGCAGTGTAGATTCTACAGACTTGCCTTTTATATATGCGTGCT